TTAATATCTACAAGAGTAGGAAGAGTTTAAACTATGTGTATTCTTTAGAATGATGCTTCATTAAAGAGGCCCCTTTATGCTCATTTTGCAGGGTCATATTTATATGTTGTGCCTCTACTGGGACATGTCTCCATGCTTTAATGTTCAACAAGCTCTTTATTGTTCTCATATGCCTGTGCTGCAGCACCTCTTTTCACCCTCTGTCTGAAACCAGAGCGCAGTTTGCTCTGATTGGTTAGCTGGCCGGCCTCTGTTGTGATTGGTCCAACTGCTTAGATATGTCGCACCCCTTAATAGATGTCAATAGTCAACTAGAAGCGCTGCTAAGTAGTGATGTCACTATGTCAACAAAGGAGTCCAATGAATAGCATTTCAGGCAGGGGGGGGGGGGGGGGGGGGGGGGGGGGGGAGGAGTATAATAGGGTATCTTTAAGTAGTATTTTAGTAGTTAGTATATGTTTGCATTGCTCCTGCCACACATCAACACTTTGGCTTTGCAGTTATACGAAGTTGAAATACCTACTGACATATTTGTGTTAGCCTCCTTAGCTTAAGACATACTGCATTGCATGATGGCATTCCCAATACAGCTTATACTAGTACGTGTCAGCCCAATTACAAATAACAGTATCGATCAGTGCATAACAAATAGACCTTTCACTTATTATAATCATAACAACATTTTAATTTGTATTTGCTTCTTGTGTCATCACATTATTCTTGAACAACATTAAGGTCATCAGAGCTAAAGGCTAAATGTTGCATTAGCAGTTTGGTAATTGTTCTAAATGACTAACCATGTATGTGTCCTGTATCTGTTTCTCCGCTCTGCACAGTATGGTTTCCATCTCATTAAAGGTGGGGTCTGAAGCAGAGCTTGGGGGGATTGTCATATGGAAACAGCAGCAGTATTTGGAGACCAGATCTTTATTTGCAATCTGTGAAACATACAATATAACTCCATCCTTCAATATGTTGCATTATGTAAAAAAGTTATTAAGCATAAGAGTTAAAACCGGAGGAGGAAACGTTATGCCTGTCCTTTAGTTCTTGACTCTTACCTCGGGAAGCACTTTTTCTGTAATATCGTATAATACACCATTAATCAGTGAGCAAAGGGCCACGTTCATTATTATTTCAAAAACAGATAGCTGGTAGCTGATTCTAAAATGTAATCCAAATAAGACAAACTGCTGCAAAATGGAGAGTTTGCAGGAAACAGGACTCAAGTATGCAAACATCTTATATCATATATGGATTAGATGTAGAGGGAACCACAGATGTGTTTGCCTACGGAAGCCCAGAGGCTGTTTGGTGTATAGCATGTTGGATCAACCCCCTCCATCCAGAAGTGACATGATAAATTGAAGTGATTGGATTTCCTTCCATGCTGCCCATGGGGCTACGGGTCCACGGTGGTCTCTGCTATTCTCTTCTCTCCTCAGAAAATATATACATTGGTGCTTTTTTTCACTTGTTTCACAACAGTGAGATTCCTAAATTCTCTTTGCTACCCAAAACACTCTTTAATGTCCTAACCAATGGGTATACAACCTCAGGTTTGTCCTGCTTTACTGGTTAACGCTTCTTCTACCTTACATCTGAGCAAACCAGCAACTGTGAGACCACCGCGGAGACCTTTCCCTGTTTCTGAATCTGAAAACCATTTGCACAAGCTCAACTGAACTCGCCTGCCTGAGCAGTCAGCTGAAGAATTAAGGGCGCATCACCAGGAGAGAGGAGTCTTCCCTCCTCTCCAGCTGACAATGGAGAGCTGAGGCAACAGAGTGCATTTCTACTTAATTGTCTCCACAACAGGCATCCAGAGTTGCCCAGTGAGTAAAGAAATAGTGTATCTGCTGCTTCTGCAAACAAATACCAAACTCTGCTTAGAAATAAAAAACAATATCACTCTTCTTTTTACATTACAGTACATGTTACTTGTTAGACGCTTTTATCCAAAGCGACTTACATACTCAATACTGTGGACAATCCCCACAGGAGCAATTTGGGGTGAAGAGTCTCAGGGACACAACGACATGCTGACTGCAGTGGGGTTTTGAACCTGTGACCCCCTGATCCAACACCTCACACAACCCACTGCGGCACATGCCTCTTTTAGCTCTGATTTAGGCCGTTTCTCAATCGAGGATGCTGGCTTGGTAGTCGCGTACTTCCAAGTCACTTCCTTCAGAAACGAAGCAAGTATACTTCCAAGCCACGGCTTCGGAAAACGAAGAAGAATGGAACAGGCTAACAAGTGTGCCACTCTCTCTAACGGTTTCAACATAAACTGTACCGAAAATAAATACCTCACGATGTCTATCTAATTATGAAGTTGCTTTACTTTCACGGAACACATTTTTGGTGATAACAAACAAATGTAACATATTTACCAACACATGTTCTACGCCACTATACATTTAAATGTGTGCTGCGTCGGTTCAGCCATTCTCCGCAAGGGTTTTTGAAATTGGTCCGTGCGCAAAGCATTGTGGGGATTTTAAGGACGCGAAGTCTACCCATGTGCAGCCTCGACATTTCCAAAATACAAAAGCGCTAGAAGGGTTAATACCATAGACTGTATATTTAAAGATTAATACCATAGACTGTATATTAAAGGTTAATACACATCATTTTGAACATCAGGCAGGCTCAGAAAACGTGTTGCCCCCTTGTTATGCTAATATAGGATAACTACATCTTGACTGCAGCATTGTAGCTACTTAATGCAGAGATGTGAGATGAGATTATTCTTTCACACACAGTGACGTCACAGCTACCCACAATGCAACGCGCGCCATATATTTTTTTATAAAGACGCCATTTTTCTGGAGGTGCAATAATCCTGGTGATGCTAATATAAACAGCTAGCTAATGTTGCCAGGCAGAGCGCACTAGGTTTTTTTTCTGAATTAACGATCGAAGAAATCGCTGCATGTCTTCGGATTACATCTCTGGACTTGAGGGGTGTGCTCTAGGTCGTTACCAGCGTAAACTAGAGCTGTGTGGGTTGTTGGATGGACAATGTATGGAATTACGACCCTCAAAAGTGGCCTTCGGTCGATTTTGGCTGCATCTACGTCTATCTTCTGGAAACACCAGGTGAATACCCCACTTGTCACAATAATATTATCATGCCAATGCATATATGTGGTATTTTAGAGTTGACTATATTGATTAAGGCAATCGACTATGATATTCTGTATGCACCTCGCGTGAAATGGTTGATACCGGAAGTACGGTGTCGCCCTCGGCCCAAAACCCGTATGTGTGTGAAAGAATATAGATCTTCTCATGTCCCTTTGGAAACGAGAGCATATTTTCCAAACCATTTCTTATGCTTCGTTGAATTGAACTGAATCAAGGGAGACAGTGGGAGATGAGAGGATGCTCATGTAAAATTCATACCAAGAGAATTTAACAAAATGTTCGGCGCAAGAGGGAGAGAAGCAGAGAAAGACACGACGAGATGTTAGACTTGAAAAATAATGGATGAAGAGCAACAGAGTAGAAAGCTTATGGTAGCCATTTATCCTGGTGTGTGCTGCTGCTTCTCCTCTGACGGCTGAGGCGGAGGGTGTGCCGCTGTATAGGCCTACTGTAGTGTGTGTGTGTGTGTGTGTATGTTCATCCCACATCCTCGGACGCATAATATAGATCTGCAGTCTGCTGATTCAGCCGCCCTGAACCTCCCATCACAATTACAGGCAGTGCGTGGCAGCGCTCCGACACTGGCGTCTGCAGAATGTCACCGTGCCTCACACAGCCCATCGCTCTGCAGGCTGTCCCCCGCTAACAGGCGCTGTGTGTGGGGGGGCGCTCAGACACAGAGGGCGCTGACTCCCACAACCCCCCCGGAGAAACAAGCATAAATATCATATCTCAGTCTGTGCAGCAGTACACAATCGGTACATCCAACCAATCAGCAAAGTGCTCTGGGTAACTCATTTGTAATCGCTGTTAGGGGTTGTTTGGCAACTTTGACAAGAACAACAAGCTGGAAACACAGTTTAGACATATCGACACATAAAGACAACTGGCTAACTTGTAAGCAAAAGTGTGTTCACTTAAACGGAGCAACCTGATTATTGTATGTTTTTATTTCCACTTCTTTATAGCTCGTTTTGCTGTCTTCTAACTCCTCAAGGAAACATATCATATAACAACTCAGACTCTGTGACTATATTTGAGACATTTACATAACAAAAAAACACTTTCTTTTTGTTTTTATCCTTTTTTAAATAACTAATAGCTGAACATGAGACCCCGTGAATAGAGAATATTATTTAATAAATGTTATTATTGAATTCAATTCAAAACCTTTATTTATCCAGGTAAAATCCCATTGAGATCAATGATCTCTTTTTCAAGGGAGACCTGCAGAAAATGAATCACCTTGTTCAGCTTTAGGAAGATATATTTAAGGACATTTAGGATACATATAAAATGTGTATCCTCAGAACACTCTTCTTTATAAAACTAAATAACTGTGTTTTTAGCTGTGTGTAAGTCATTTAACTAACCCTGAGCCATGAGCCATGACTTCCTCATCACACCTGATTGCCTGAGGGACAATTTATAGGAATGGATGTTTCTGTTGTGTTAAATGAAACTGTGGTTTTTCCGTGATAGCAGACGTCTTTTGCTGGTTTGAAGCGTACAGAGATGATGGAGACACTTTTAATTGCTTTTTTTTTTCAAATTAAAAATATGTCAAAAATGTTTGAAGAAAGTAAGTTGGCAAACGTTTTTTCTCATTCAGCCAGGTCGAAAACACACTGGTATTCACAGCTGTAGATGAGAAATAGGAAAGTATTAAGGGACACATTCAAACATGTCAGCTCAGACTCTTTCCATCAAAACTAAACAATTACTTGCAATTTCTTACTAACACATTAAAAAGGATAGAAAGGAAGTCTATGACAATCATTTATTTGGGTTGGTGACTTTTCAAATAGCTATTTTCTTATTTCTTTCTGTGTTGTTTGTGTTTCCAGACCAATGACGTGGCGGGGAACACCTGGAACTGGCTGTACTTCATCCCCCTCATCATCATCGGCTCCTTCTTCATGCTCAACCTGGTGCTCGGTGTCTGGGTAAGCTCCCTCTGAACATAGAAACAAACACTACATGGAAACCCAATTAAACCTAATGACTGATTCAAGATTGTAGAGAACTTGAATTGTATTATTATTTTTCAAAAGGAAATGATGGAATTTGTCTTGTGATAATTCTATGTATTTTAAATTAGTTATTGTTATCACTAAGTTGAAATACGTTAGCAATCAGCAATTTATTTGTACTTCCTTTCCTATTTTATTAATTTCCGGAACATTTTCTAAGCCAAGTTTTGAGTAAATGGGGATATATTTTGAGGGAACTTTTATTCTTTAAAATGATAAATTGAAGTATTTGCTAAAAAGTGTTTTTATCCAAGGATAGATAGATTAGATAGACAGAAAGATAAAAAAATCATCGTAGGGCACTTTTGCATTGGCTTCAGCTACCTGCTTGCATTGCATACATGAGGAGTTTGCTATCCAATCATATGATAGAGATTCAAGACAGTATCCCTGCTGTCAGTTAACTACAATGAAGAAGACG